TTTGACACCTATGTCTGTGCGACGCCTCAAATGGTACCTGCGAGGTCAAGAACTTTTCCGCGAGGTCCCGACGGACCCGGAGTCAGCCGATGAACAACTCGAAGGCGATTTCACAACGGCCTTCGGACCCAACGACCTCTTGATTGCTGTGATACCCAGCCGCGACCAAAAGTCTCAGGGCGAAAGGGCCAAACCTGACGTTGCGGAAGCCACACCGGTCACGGTTCAACCGGTCCAACCGGGCATGATTCAGCAAGGTGTGATACAACCGGGTATGGTTCAGCCGGGAATGGTTCTGCAAGGTATGATTCCACCGGGTATGATTCTGCAAGGTATGGCTCAACCGGGTATGATTCAACCGGGTATGATTCAACCGGGTATGATTCAGCAAGGTGTGGTTCAACCGGGAATGATTCAACCGGGAATGATTCAACCGGGAATGATTCAACCGGGAATGGTCCAACCGGGTATGACCCAACTGGGTATGCTTCAACCGGGTATGCTTGTTCAACAGGGTACGGCTCAGCCGCTAACGGGACCGGCGGATGCGGCCCAGCCGGGCATGGTTCAGCAGGGTACGGCCCAGCCGGGCATGGTTCAGCAGGGTACAGCCCTGCCGGGCATGGTTCAGCAGGGTACGGCCCAGCCGGGCACGGGGCCGACGGATGCGCCCCAGCCGGTGATGGTCCAGCCGGTTATGGCCCAGACGGATACTGTCCAGGCGGGAATGATGATGTACCTACAGCAGATGATGGCCCCTCCGATGATGATGTCGCCGTGTATGTGGCCGCAGGCGGCACAGCCGGGTGCGGTGATGATGTGTGCGCAACAGCCGTGGATGTCTCCGCCGCAAATGATGTGTGCACCGTGGATGTGCCCGCAGCCAGTGATGGTGTTCCAGGCGCCTCTGGAGGGCCAGGCGCCTCTGGAGGGCCAGGCGCCTCTGGAGGGTCAGGTGGGGACTTCACAAGAAAAGGTTTCGTTGGAGGAGGGCAGTGAAGGGTCGGTGAGCGGCGACGAGGCGTAGCGACGAGGCGAGAAAGCACATCCAGCCAGCCTTTTTAAAATTAGAGACATCCACGAAGGGATTATGAGTTGGTTGGTGTGCGTGGCGGTGTATAAAAATTTGATTTGATGAGAATTTGTTTCGCGAGTGTAGTTTCGCGCGAACGAAGGTTGGTTGATGAGTGGTTGTCGTTTGTCCAGAAGGTGTTATGTGAGTACGAATTTGGGTCGATGCCGGACGGCACGATGTTGGAGTTGGTTCCTTTGAATTCAGTGCGGCGTTTGCCTGGTGGTAGTTGTTGGCGGTTGCCGGTGGAGAGGACGACGGCTGGTACATTACGTGCGCGAGGTACACCTTGTCGGCTCTCGGAGGCTGAGTTCTGTACGGGACAGTCGAGTTCGGTATGGGCGCAAGGTCATTGGGGACTTGATCCGGGTCATTCTGAGCGGTTGCAGCGCTGGCGTGGCTTTCAACAAATGGTCGAATTCGCTGAAAGGTTTGATGCATTAAAGCCCGGCATGCACGAACATCTTGCCGGCTACTGGCTCAGATATTGTCGTCAGCCCGGTAACTTTTGGTCTTCATTACCCTCCGTCCATTCCAGTTCATGCACACACAGTTCGCGACAACGCACAGCCTGGTACCGACGACACGCCTTAAGCTACAGACCGTCACCCCTTGAAGACATCCGCAACGACATCGCCCTCTGCGGACACTTCACCGATACCTTCGGACCCGCAGAAGTCCTTCTAGCATTCCAAACCAGCCGCTCCCGCGACCTCATTGAAGCACAGAAACAAAACAAGGAACCAGAGGTGGTCGAAACACCACAAGCCAGGACGGCGGAAGTCCAGACAGAGGGGGAGACAAAAGTCCAGACAGAGGTAGAAACACAAGTTCAGACAGAGGTAGAGAATGGCTGGGGCACCGCTAAGCCCTCCAACCGACTCTGGCCCATCTGGGAGATCGAATCACCCACAGACAATCTGGTCCCCCAGGCGCGACACCAAAACCCCTGGCTGGCACCCAGCCAGCTCTGGCCCGACGGGTCCACGGCCGTCCTTCGGCCTCTACCGGTGGTGTCTTTCGTCTCAGAGGCGGCCTACCCTAGAGGCGTTTCGACAGCTCCCTTCGACAACCAGCTGAACCCCGGCTGGGCCGTCGACCCGAGAGCTGGCCCGCAAAATCAATGGGGTGCCACTATGCCCTGCAACCGATCGTGGTACGGAAACCAACCGTGGTACGGGAACCAACCGTGTTTCGGTTGTGAGGTCCAGTCGGAGCTGCAGCAGCAGCAGTCGCTGCGGGCATGACCGAAGTATCGGCCGCTGTCCCCCTCGACGGCTGCCTTGCGCGGCACACTTTTTTCCGAAAGTGTTGGGCCGTTGTTTTTTTCCCAGGAAATGCGAACCTGTCCGAGAGAAGTAAACAACTGCCAGTTCACGGAGGCGCGGTTGTCCTCCACGCAGACGGTGTGTAACTTCGAGTTGGACGGATGCGGGTTCGACGTCCGCTGGGCGTTCTCGGCATCTTCGGAAACATTCAATGAGGGATCGACGGTCCGCGGCTATCTGACCGCCTCACCAACGGGTTCGCGCCTAGCGAAGTCTTGCTGGCTATATTGACTAAAAACCGACCGCGACAGCCCAAGACGTGCCGAACCAAATCGCGTCTGTCGTAGGCGCGTCTCGCCACCCCTCGTTGCGGGCCTTTTTTGGGGGAGAACCCTCGAACTCGTCTCCACATTACACGTGGCGGGCGACCTGGTCCCCGTCGCCACCAACGCCCGAGACTTGCGACAGTGCGCAGCCATGCTGCGAAGAGTTACGTCGTCTCCACGAAGAAGGCGATCGCGCGGCGCTCTACTCAACCCGCATGTGGTGGGTGAACGTGTTACGCACAACTGTCAATGCCTGTGTCGATACATGGGAAATTCCCGAACATGCAGGCAATCGGTCAGGTCGTTGCATGGCGGCCGGACAGCATGGCGGGTCCGGCCGGGTATTGGCAGGTCCCGATAGACCCCGTCGCCATACCCAAGACCCGTCCCGGGGTCTCCGATGGAGCTCCGATCGTTCCTCGCCTTGGGGTCATCGAGAAGTGGCGAGACTACGTCAGCCTGTTGCACTCAGGGTCAGGATAGACCACAACAACCTACGGTACCTCACCAGGGTGAACAAGGGCAAGGTCTTCAGATGGGCACTCGCACTAAGCGACTACGACTTCACCATCGAATTCATCTCCGACGAGTCCGACAACATAGCCGACTGGCTCAGCAGATACGCCGGCGACGACGAAGGAGACGACGCACTATTGGACCGGATATCACTGAAGGTCGCAGCTGTGTGGGCACCCCGACTGCTCAACCTCCCAGCACTCCCGACAAAAGAAGTCTTCGTCAAAGCATACGTCCAGAAGGGGAACCCCAACCTGCCAGGTCTCCACTGCAACGACCGATGGTGGATCCGTCAAAGACAAAAAAGATCTACGTCCCCCGCCAGTTACGCACACGGCTGGCCCTCGTATTCCACTTCGGTCCGAACGGCCGCCTGGGAGTTGGCAAGACGAGCAGGAGGGCCCAGGACATCGAAAATGATCAGAGAGCGCCTCATCTGCGCGAGACTGAAGACACCACCGGTGCACCAGCAAGGACTACCGAGTGGCGGGATTTGAATTTCGGAACAAGCAACGAAATGAATTTGGTATGAGGTGACTGCACAAGGAATCGAACCTGGGCGTTGAGCCTGGCTGGCCGTACCTCTCCACCTCTACTTGCGTGCGGGTTGTGTTGACCACCTTCATGGAGAGTGACCACTTGGGCGCGAACCACCTTGGCGCCTCCGGTCCGCCACTGGGAGAGGCCTCGTAGGAAGGAGGGAGATCTCTTTGGGTTGGTAGCATTTTCTGGAGTCCTGGTTTCAACCCTTAAAAACGTCTCTCCCTAGTGATGCGCTGCAAACACGCGCGCGTTGTCCCAAATATGCCCAACGTCTTTTATGTCCCAAAAGACGTTCGAACTGGAACTAACTCAGACGAGAACCAGCACTAGCGATTCTCCCATTTCCGGAC